TGTGGGTATGAGTATGTGTGTGTGTATGTGTGAGTGTGGGCGTTTGAATGTGTATGTGGGTGGGTATATGTGTGTGTGCGGGTGTGTGTGTGCGTGGGTGGGTATGTGTGTGTGAGGGTGGGTTTGTGGATGGTGTGTGTGTTTGGGTGGGTATGTGTGTGTGGGCGTTTGAATGTGTATGTGGGTGGGTGTGTGTGGGTGGGTATGTGTTTGGGTGTGTGTGGGTGGGTGGGTATGTGTGTGCGTGCGTGGGTGGGTGGGTGTGTGCGTGGGTGGGTGGGTGTGTGTGTGGGTGTGTGTGTCGGATGGAGTGGGGTGGAGTCACAGGGGACGACAGGGACCCCTCCAAAGGAAGCACACACAGACCAATGCTTCCAATACTGTCTCATTTCTCCTTGTCCCCGCCGCCCCCGCCTCCGGCACTCGCCTGGGTTGTTGTAAGATTTTAAACAGGGTATTAAAACCATCCGGGGCATGCAAGCATGCTGTTTTTCACTAGGAACGAACCTCTGCTCTTCCTTCAGCAGGCTGTAAACAATTGCCACGTTTATTCGATCCAATCCATTACATGCCTGCACGCAATGTGGGGATTGCACACATGCTCGAAGGCTAAACCACTTGCAGCTCTCTATTTCTCCGAGATGCCACTCGAAATAAAACGCGAAGATCTAACCAATAATAAAAAAAAGTGGTGGATTTTACGCTTAGATGTTTATAGAACTTTGAGGTGGCAGCTCTTAAGTCCCACCTCCCTCCCTTGAGCGGAGGGTCGGATGGCAAACTCCGAAACTTGTCTGAGCGAGAGTTAGTTAAAGGGGAGGGATGTAAGCTGTTAGAGACAAAAGAAAAACCTGCAGATGCTGGGGACAAGCAGGAGGCTGGAAGGACACAGCGAGCCAGGCAGCATCTGGAGGAAAGGAGCAGTCAATGTTTCGGGTATTACCCTTCTACAGGACTAAAGCATGTGCCAATTTCAAAATATTTCAGCTCATGGTGCAAGGCGTTCTTTAAGAAAAAGTTTCCACTGCCTTCATTTACAAGAGGAGAGAATAGAGGAAGATTTGAGCGTGTGTTGGGGTGAGGGGGTTGGGGGGTGGAGAGAGAGAGACAGCCGCTCTCGTGAACTGGGTTTTTCTTCCCCAAAATATATATGCACTCGATTGCACACACGGTTATCGGAACAGATACCACTGGCCTGAATATAACACCTTATGCACAGCAATCATAGAATCCCTACGGTACAAGTGCAGGCCACTCGACCCATGGAGTCTGGACAATCTTAGGCACCGATCTCTTGAGCAAATGTACCCAGGAAATCGTGGCATGATTACTGCTGGACTGGTAATCCTCAGACCCGGTTTAATGGTTTTGGCATCAAATCACTTTGCGGCAGCTGATGGAATTTCAACGTATATGAGACCATAAGATGTAGGAGCAGCCGTAGGCCATTCAGCCCATCAATAAGTACATGGCTGATCTGATAATCCTCAGCTCCACTTTCCTGTCTTTTCCTCATTTCTCTTGATTCCCTTACTGATTAAAAAAAGTCAATCTTAGGCTTGAATATACCTATGGATTCAGCATTGACAGCCCTCTACAGTAAAGAATTACACAGATTCATAACTCTCAGAGGGAGAAAAAATTTCCTCATCTATGTCTTAAATGGGCAGTTCCTTACACTGAGACTAATGCCGTCTGGTCCTAGACTTTCCCACAAGGGGAAGCAACATTACAGCATCTGCCCTGTCAAGACTCCTAAGAAGTATTCCCTGTACACTCATGACCGTGTGGCCAAATTTCATCTGAACTCCATCTACAAGTTCACTGATGACAGTACCTTTGTAGGCCTGAAATCAAACAATGACAAGACAGAACACAGGAAAGAGATAGAATGCTTCATGGCATGATATAAAGATAACAATCTCTCCCTCAATGTCAGCAAAACTAAAGAGCTGATTGTTAACTTCAGGAAGCCCAGGACTGTAAGAAAACTACAGAAAGTTGTGGACATAGCCCAATCCATCACACAAGCCTCCCATCCATTGACTCCATCTACACTTCTCACTGCCTTCAAAAGGCAGCTAACAAAGACCCTTCCCACCCCAGTCATAATCTCTTCTAACCTCTTCTGTCAGGCAGAAGATATAAAAGCTTAAACACATGTACCAACATGCTCAAGAACAGCTTCTTCCCTTCTGTTATTAGACTGCTGAATGGACCTCTCAAATTTCAAATGTAATGTTGTTCTTACTTCTGTGAACCTCCTTTGCAGCCGTAACTTTGTATTCTTTGCTCAATTCATCACCCTACGATCTTCGTATGGTATGATCTGCCTGTACTGCATGCAAAACAAAACTTTTCACTGTACTTAGATACATGTGACAATAAAAAATCAAACCAAATGTTTCAATAAGATCTGAACTCATTCTCCTAAACTCCAATAAGTACAAGCCAAACCTATCTAATCTCTCCCCTAAGAACATTCCTCTATAATTGGAATCAACCTAGTGAACCTTTTCTGAACTGACTCCAGTGCCAGAATATATTTTCTTAGGAAAAAAAAAACAGGAAATGCTGGAGAAAATCAACAGCTCTGAAGAGAGAAACAGAGTTAACTCACCAGTCTAGTATAACACTTCTTAAAACTTAGCTTTCATCTTTACTCAACCCTGGGATTGAGAGGTGCTACAATGGTGACCGTGAATCAGTTGTGGAAAAAAATAGGGTTTAGTAATGACCTTTGGAGTCATAGAGTCATGCAGCATGGAAATAGAACCTTCGGTCCAACCAGTCAATGCCAATCACAAACCTAAACTAAACTAGTCCCACCTACATGCTCCTGGCCCATATCCCTCCAAATCTTTCTTATTCACGTATTTATCCAAATGTCTTTTAAACATTGTAATTGTATCCACATCCACCACTTCCTCAGGAAGTTCATTCTACACATGAACCACTCTCTGTGTGATAAATTTGTCCCTCATGACTTTTTAAAATCTCTTCTCACCTTAAAAATGTGCCCCCTAGTCTTGAAATCCACCATTCTAAGGAAACCTACCATTAACCCTTTCTATACCTCTTATGATTTTAGGAAGGGAATCTGCCATCCTTGCCTGGTCTGTTCTACATGTAACCCTAGCGAATATTTGTATCATCTATTTGGCCTAATATTCCAACCATGCCGTGTTTGCGCTGGGGTAAACCTGAAGAACAAATCTATTTAAATTATTGTAGGACAGCATGTTCACATCGTCAAAGAAAAGTCAGGGACAGAAGTTAATAGAGAGTGTGCTGCTCTGGTGTGATTTAGTTTAAGGCTTAGACCGTCCATTCATGAATCAGCTTGAAGCATTTCAGACCCAGAGAGAGTCAGTCCAATGAGCTCTGTATGAATTGAATAGTGGACTCTTGTATAATAAACATTGTATACATTGTATACATGATTGTGAAGAGCTGGTTGCATGGCTTACCCTTTAGATCACCAAACCACCTTAACCTCTCATTTTCTATAACATGTTTTTCCCCAAAGTCAGCGGTTGAATGTAATGCAGTTGAAAGAACGCATAGACAGCTGTGGGGAATGCTTGCTCCTCAGTGTTCTTCTGAGCGACTGCAGCACTGTGTCAGAGAGCGAGTTGTTCAGACATGTAACTTGGGGTAGAGTTAAGGGCAGGAACAAGACGCAGCAAGGTGTGAACCACATTCATCAGTAAGTTCTTCAGCTCAGGGGAGCTGTTGCTTCTGCATGTTACACACAGGAACTGTTGCAAACAATTTCAACTTCAGGGCCATGTAGCTTCTTTATTAGTCAAAAGTCAAAAAACAAAAATACAGAATGCCAGAGAAAAGACACGTGGAGGTGAAATTCATACTCACAGTATCAACTTGCAAAAATGGAAATGTTAAACCTACACAATGGAAAAGATGTAAAATGTACAACAGATTCACAGAGCGATTGCCAGTAACTTTACAAGGTGACATGGTGGCTCAGTGGATAGGGCATTGGCGAGATCACATCTTAAAATGTTGTGTGCAATTTTGGTCTCCTTGTTTAAGGAAGGATGCAAATATGCTGGAAGTGGCTCACCAGAGGTTTACCAGATTGTCACCTGCAATGAATAGGTTGTCTTATGAGGATAAGTAGGACAGACTCAATCTGTTTTCACAGTAGATTCAAAGATTGAGGAGTGATCTGAACTTAAATTTATAATGGTTAATGAATTAGACAGGGTCAATGTGGAAAGGATGTTTCCTGTTGAGGGTCAGTTGAGAACGAGGGGACACTGATTTATGATTAGGCTCCCTCTTGCAGGACAGAGATGAGGGGAATTATTTTCTCTCGAAGGGTTATGCAACTTTGGAACTGCCTGCCTCAGAGGTGGGACACTGAATATTTTAATGGTGCAGTTAGATAGGTTCTTGTTCAGATTCTTATACAAGGGAATCAAAGAAGGTAGATGGGGATGTGCAATTCTAAACACAGAACAGCCATGATCTTATTGAATGGTGGAGCAGGCTTGAAGTGCTCGATAGCCCATCTCTGCTCCATATTGGTATGACATCTCAAGGTAATAACATTGTCTCAATTACATGCCCCAGGGATTTGAAGATGCATCATATCCCGTTACTTAGATTTAGATATATTTATTTGTCACATGTACTTAGTATAGGAATACACAAGCACAGCGAAAAGTGCACAATGTCACCATTCACTGGTGTCCACTTAGTTACAGGGTGGCATGGTGGCTCAGTGGTTAGCACTGCTGCCTCACAGCGACAGGGACCAGGGTTCAATTCCACCCTTGGGCGACTATCTGTGTAGAGTTTGCACATTCTCCCCATGTCTGCATGGGTTTCCTCCAAGTGCTCTGGCTTCCTCCCACAGACCAAAGGTGTGCAGGCTAGGTGGATTGGCCATGCTAAATTGCCCGTAGTGTTCAGGGATGTTTAGATTAGGTGGGTTATCGGGCGGTGGGTGCTGTGGGTGCTGTGAGGGCTGGTGTGGACTTGTTGGGCTGAAGGGGCTGTTTCCACACTGTAGGGATCCTATGATCTATGAAAAACCAGAATTAAAAGATTTTAACAGCGCCAAAAAGTAAGCAAGAGGGAAAAGAAAAGTCCAGATCTCCACAATGGTACGAGTGCTGCTCCAAGTGCTAGGACACCCAGGAGACCACCACTGCCAGGCAAAAGGCCTGTACTCACCGCCAACCGCTGACTACTATCCCCTCAACCGGCCCCGTTCTTGCCAACTTCTCCTGCCTCACCAGCCTGCTCTCACCGCCGACTGCTGCCCCTTCACTGCCTGCTCTTGCTGCCGAACCGGCCCACTCTTGATAAGTGGCCGTCGCTCCGGCCCACGCTCGATCCGCTGTCGCTGCAGGACGTGGCCCGTGTGTTCAGCTCCCGCTACGCGGTTCCCGGTCCTGAAACAACTCCTTGGGTTAGGTAGTTAAAAGGGCGAGGAGTGGAGTGTAAAGATGTACTACAGAAAGGAGAGAGAAGAAGAAGAGAAAGGGAAAGGGAACTGGGGAGCAGAGTGTAGCTCTGAATGGAGTGACTTACCCTGCTCCCATCTTGCTGGGAGAGCCCATTTGATTGGGTTTTAACCTAACTGGTCATTTTTTTTTTCATCTCCAGGAATCAAACGTTTGTTCATACTTATCGGGTTTTTGAAAATTCTGGAACGTGGCATGTTCAGGTAAGGATCTACACCTTGTTTTAATAAACAATCGCAATTCCCTTATACCCAGACCTGAAGGAGCCTGTCTATTCAACAGACTCAACCTGTGGATTGGGCGATGTGTAGTCAGAAAGAAAGGGACTTTGGAATTAAATAACAGAGGAAGTGGGTAATCTGTGAGCAGCCAAGGCAAATGAGGAATGTCAGAAAAACAGGACTTATAAAGCAGCATAGACTTTATAAAGGAGCAAAAGTGCAAATACACCTCCAAAAAATGTTGGAGGAACGCAGCAGGCCAGACAGCATCAGAAGAGTAGGAAAGCTGACATTTCAGTTTGGGGCCTTCTTCAGAAAAATCTGTTTTTCTGAAGAAGGGTCCGGACCTGAAACATCAGCTTTCCTGCTCCTCTGATGCTGCCTGGCCTGCTGTGTTCCTCCAGCTCTACACTGTGTTATCTCTGACTCCAGCATCGGCAGTTCTTACTATCTCCGAAAAATGTTGCTTGTGGAAAAACCCACAACAATGCAAAGTTTCAAATATTGATGTTATCTGTGTAATTAATCAACGCTAACATTTGACACGGAGTGAAGGGTATTATTTAACTGGTGAGGGTTCAGAAGGGATTTACCAGGATGTTGCCAGGTTTGAGTTATAAAGAAAGACTGGATAGGCTGGGACCTCTTTCAATGGAGCATAGGAGGTTGAGAAGTGACCTTACAGAAGTTTATAAAATCGTGAGGGGTATAGATAGGGTTAATAGTAGGTGTCTTTTTACTAGGATGGGAGATTTCAAGACTAGGGGACATATTTTTAAGGTGAGAGGAGAGTGATTTCAAAAAAGACATGAAGGACAAATTTTTTACGCAGAGGGTGGTTCGCATGTAGAATGAACTTCCTGAGGAAGTGTTTGATGCAGGCACAGTTACAAAAAGACACTTAGATAAGTACATGAATGGGAAGGGTTTGGAGGGATATGGGCCAAGAATAGGCAGGTGGGTCTTCTGTAGTTTGGAATTATGTTTGGCATGGACAGTTTGGATTGAAGGGTTCGTTTCTGTGCTGAATGACTCTATGACTCTATGTTGGTAATATGACGCTCGTGTTTGGTAGGATTTTACATTTTATTGAGGAAAGAGAACTATATGTTTAATTATTGTTTGTAACATCATCTTGCAGTACTCCACATGCAATAATCTACTCAGCATGTGAGTTATATATAACTGCTGTGTAGATTTCTAATAGTACTTCTTGAGATCTCTGTCCCCTCTTACTCGTAGTGGCAAAATTTCCATCATAGGTAGGGCAAGGAGGCAGGTCCCAAGTCCACTATGGCTGGAATGGAGATAGAAACCTATGCACCAACCTGATCCACACCAGCCATCCAGTCAAATGAACCAAACAGCACCCCCTTCAAGAGGTATATTTTGAGTAGTGTGTGCAGGGTTTGGTCTCCTTATCTTGGGAAGGATGTTCTGGTCATGTTCTGGGAGTGCAATGGAAGTTTATCAGACTGATTCCTGGGATGGTAGAGCTGATGTATGAAGAGAGACCGGACCAGTTAGGATTACATTCACTGCAGTTTAGAAGAACGAGATGGGGGATCCCATAGAAAGCTATGAAATTTGAACAGGACTAGACAGGGTAAATGCAGGAAGGATGTTCCCATTGACTGCGTATTCCACAACAAAGGGTCACAGTTTAAGGATCCAGGGTTGGCCACTCAGCACTGAGATGAGGAGAAATTTCTTTGTTTTTTGAAGTAAGTCATCATGTTGTGATTCTTTAACATGAAACAATGAAGACAGTTCTTAGGAGCAGATACTTTTCCCCCAAAACAAAAGCAAAATTCAGGCAAGTTTCCGGAATTTGCTTTAATTAAATGTACTTGTGTAATGATGTTCTGTCCGAGTTGATGCTGTTTGATCAGACTGGGTTCTGATTAGGAAAGATGTGCAGATTTTACTTCAATTGAAGGGGGCAGTAGCCCCTTCAGAAAATTTTTGATATTCAGTACATCCCATTGATCAACCTTTCATTTTGGAACTTTCATATTTCTAAGGATGTTACATATATCATTGTAGTATCTTTCCCATGATGAGCCTGTGGAATTCTCTGCTGCAGAAATTGGTTGAGGCCAAAACATTGAATATTTTCAAGAAAGAGTTAGATATGGTTCTTTGAGATAAAGGGATCAAAGGGTGTGGGGGAGAAATGGAGAACAGGGTGCTGAGTTGGATGATCAGCCATGATCATATTGAACAATGGTGCATAAAGGGCCAAAGGGCCTATTTTCTATGTTTCTATGAGTCTGAGATGTTGTGGCAATATACATTTTTTACATACATGTTGGAGCCTGGAGCTATGGATAGTGATGGTAGAGGTTCCAATGTCTTTCCATTTGCGTAGCTGACCAGGGACCTCTCCCACTTTTACCACCTGCCATTGGTGTATACTGGAATAGCTTACAAGCTGATACTCTTTGATAATCAACATGTTATGAACATCCCTTCATTGGCCATCAAATTCTGTAGTTAAACCCAGACCCCCACTGGCTAAGAGACAAGAACACTACCAACTGAGCTACAAGACTTCTCCTGTTAGTACTGACAGGCTGTGTTTAACACCTGTTTGACTCTCTGCGCCTTTTTACCCAATTTACAAGTTCCTGCTGTTTTGCAAGCTTAGCATTCATCCTTTCTCTCTCTCTCTGTCACATGCACACACACACACACACACATTCTCTCCCACACATGCATGCACACACACGCACACACACATCCTCTCCCACACATGCACGCACACACACACATGCACACACAGACACACAAATGCACGCACACACATTCTTTCCCACACACTTGCGCGCACACACACATGCACACACGGACACACACACATTCTCTCTCTCACACACACACACAAACACACACGTAGATCTATGGGGTGAATTTGTATTTGCAGATACATTCTATTTTGTTCAAAAAGCACACAATTTATAGACAGTCAGACAATGTTGCATTTTATAAATTCCTACTTTAGAAATAAAACCAGTCTGACTCCAAACCAAAATAGAAACAGATTCTAAACAAGGCTCCACACCTAACATGCATTGTCTGACATAAAATGTCACCTTTTCTTTACACTGATAAAACCTTTAGTTCTCTCAGGATTGACTTGAAAGGAATTTGGAGATTTACATAAACATATTAACCAACTAAAATCTTCTAACTGATTAAAGATTTAACAGCATCTTAGGTTTGTTTAATATATCCTCATCAGTGGCATGACCCTTTGATGTTTTACTTATAAATTCTGTGTCTGATACTACCTCTCTCACTAACGCCTGAAGAAGGAGTGAGGCTCTGAAAGCTTGTGTTGAACCTGTTGGATTATAACCTGGTGTCGTGTGATTCCTGACCTTCTCCACCCCAGTCCAACACCGGCACCTCCACTTCATCGTAGCAGGTTGATGTTGGCAATTGTGGCAAACTTTGCTGTCACCGTATTCATGTCAGATGTCTCACACTTGGGTCTTTTTTTGTGCACAGACACCAAGTGCTCTCATGGTGGTGGTGGGGAGGATTTTTAATATAAGCCTACAGTTAAAACAAGAGTTAGCCACAAACTCTGCTGCAGGATGTTTGTACTCGACTTTGAGATTGGCTGATAGTAACAGGAAGAAAGCATTCTGTAGATCCTTCTAAACTCCCCTGTGCCTTCTAAGATGTTTCATTTCAACGTGTACTTTTTAAGTGCAATTGTTTCTACGCAGGCCCATTGGCACCCAAAGTGGCACAGCAAGATCCCGCAGACGCCAGTAAGATAAATGGCCGGTTACTCATTTCTTTCTGATGAACTCTTTTGAATTATCGTGCATGAAGACCAAACTAGTATTGCTAAACAAAACGTTATTAAAGAGTATGAGGCCAATGTGACTATATAGAGTTGAATCATGATCTCATAGAGTAATAGAACAGGCTTGTGGGGTGTTCCTGTATTCCCAGTATAAACTGCAGCTCATCTCAGTCTTCTACTGGTACAATTTGATAACAACCCACATCATCGGTCACTTTTATGAAGCAAAGAACTGCGGTTGCTGGAGATCTGAAACAAACAGAAACCGAAATTGCTGGTGAAACTCAGCAGGTCTGGTAGAGAGAAAACAGATTTAATGTTTCGAGTCCAGTGACTCTTCTTCAAAAGTCGGTGTGGTGAGAGTGGGAATGCTGTCATTATGATAGAAGTTAGCAGGTTTGGACTTCACAAAGTCACTATGACTCCTCAGAGCTGGTGCCTAAGCAATTCTAGCAAACTGCTGCAGTCTAAAGTTGCTGGACTGAATGGTATTTGCAGCCATCGTGGCAGCAGTTTGAATGTATATGGCATAAAGCAGTCCTTGTTTTGTGTGACTCTGAGCTTCCACTGCAGCAAACGGACAGTAGGTGACTTCTGAAACAAACACAGACAGTGTTGGACATAATCAACTGGTCTGGCAGCATCTGTGGAGGTAGAAACAGAGTTAATGTTTTGAGTCTGATATGACTCTTCTACAGAACTGAAGAAGAAAGGGTGGCATGGCGGCTCAGTGGTTAGCACTGCTGCCTTACTGCGTCAGGGACCTGGGATTGATTCTGGTCTCGCGTTTCCGATTTCCTCCCACAGTCCAAAGATGTGCATGTTAGGTGCACTGGCCATGCTAAAATTTCCATTGGGTTAAGGGATGTGCAGGCTAGTTGGATTAACTATGGTAGAAATAGGGTTACAGGGATGGAGTGGATCTGGGTGAGATGCCCTTTGGAGGGTTGGTGTGGACTCGATGGGCTGAATGGCTTGCTTCTTGCTGTAGGGATTATATGATTTTAACTTTAGAACTGAAGTACAGTACTGCCTAGGGCTCTGGGACTTACTAGTCCAGCGATATGCCACTCCCTTACCATATATATTAGCCCTCTGTTGGTCTATAGAGTGGACAGACCCCCACATAAGGGGGCTTATACTGATGCCCCAATGATGGAAG